TCACGGGGTTGTATTGTTCATATTATGGTTTTGTTATTAAAGATCATGGATTGGCTTTCAAGTTTATGTGCTGGTTGTCAAGCTTATGGACTGGTTGCTAAGGTTAGAGCCCTGTTGTCAAGCTTATGGACTGGTTGATAAGGTTAGCGTTCTGTTATTAAGGTTATGTATTGGTTGCTAAGGTTAGCGCACTCTTGTGGAGAGGTCCCTTACTGTTATTAACTTGCGCTTGGTTGTCACGGTCACCGGCGTATATTCTCTGCTACTGCATTCAATGTTCCTCCTAGTTCCCAAGGAGGAGAGTTAATATAACCTGAACACCTACCTATCCCCACATTCCACGCGGCAACATCACCATCCTTTCGCCTGTTCAGCTACAGGATAGCGCAGGTATCCTGTTCAGCTACAGGGGTTTCTCCCATGATTGCGCTTCGAGCAAGGGGAGCGGGGGAGGAGCAGTCGGCCCCTAGGTTATCATTAATTGTAAATTACCAAATGTTTTGCTTAACTTGATGATGATACGCTCTGTTAACTACCTATTAATATGATTCTGCTAATGTAGTGTGTTGTTAAGCTTTTGTGTTTGTTGATGAGTTTACGGTTTTGTTGTTGAACTCATGGGTTTGTTGTTAATGTTATCCCTTGTGGATCTGGCATATCGTAAACTATTGGCGGACAAATACAAAAATCTTTTCAAATTTAGTTTGGTTGCATTTGAAGCACATGTTAGCAGAATCTTGCGATGTTGTTAAGCTTTGCTGTTTGTTGGTGAGGTTACGGTTTTGTTGTTGAAGTCATGGGTTTGTTGTTAATGTTATCCCTTGATATTAACCTTATAATAGTTACATGTATATTGTTATTAATAACAAAGAATTGTAATATATCATTTACAGAAATCTTTTCAAATTTAGTTTGGTTGCATTTGAAGCACAAGTTAGCAGAATCTTGCGATGTTGTTAAGCTTTGTTGCTTGTTGGTGAGGTTACGGTTTTGTTGTTGAACTCATGGGTTTGCTGGTAATGTTATTCCTTGATATTAACCTTATAATAGTTACATGTATATTGTTTATATTTACCTTATAATATTTACATGTATATTGTTATTAACAACAAAGAATTGTAATATATCATTTACAAAAAATCTACATCTCAACGTCATCATCGTCAAGTTTTCTCACCTCTTTTTTCCTCTTCCTGCCTTCAATCAGTAAGTACGCTGCTAGCTTCGCACGAACCACGCATGTGTTATGCTCTACGGGCGTGACGTGCAGGACATCTCTACCTTCGATAATCGCTTGTACGAACTGGTAGACATAGATCCCACAGTCATACCTGCACACAAAAACAAGGAAGCATTGAGACCATTGTTGCTTTCAATCAAAACATAACAACAAATTCGTAACCTTAACAACCAGTTTCCAACATTAAATTCCAACAAGGGTTCCGGCAAACTTACGATCCCTTTTGCTCCTCGCATGGAACTTTGATTGGGTCGAATACGCTGCGCAATTGGTTCTCATTGAAGCCAGCTTTAATGTAGTTGAAGGCTTTGACGATTTTGAGCACAAGTTCCCAATGTCCAGATCTCTCCTTCAAGGAGTCGTAATGCCTAGCAATATCATTTTCGACATCAAACTCCAGCAGATGCCAATGATCGCCCTAGACAATGGGAACTAAGAGGTTAGTACACCCTTCATCGACCAAGCGTTTGATGTAGATATCATGCAGTTCTTGGTAATCTGGTTTCGCCACATGTATCTGGTGCTGCAATAAAGAATTAACCCGATCAGGTTCCTTTTAGTATAGATTATGTGCTGATAGGTAGGAGATCACCATCCAGACATAAACTTACACAAAACCAAACAGGAACCACCCCAAATTTTATACTGGATGACGCTCTCTGATTTTCACGAACTAAATCAAGCAGCGTATCAACAAGCTATCATAAGTTGGCAACAAGTAATTAATAATAGTATTGTTAAATATGCTAATGAATAAATACCAATCGAAAATATTACTGCATCATCCAGTCGCCCACCGCGTAATATATTGAGGATCTCAAGCCGGCTAATAGACCTGACAGATCCGGTGTACGCTTTAATAAAACTGCAAACAGGGCCAAAACAAAAATTATAGTTAGCAACTAACAATTAGCAGCAAGAACAAATCAATAACTATAACGAAAAACTCTTAACCTAAACAACAAATCAATAATCATATCAAAGAACCCCTAACCATAACATCAAACCAGTAACCTTAACATCAAACCCGTATCATTAACAACTATCACGCAACCTTAACAACAATTCAATAGCTATAACGAAAAACCCTTAACCTAAACAACAAATCAATAACCATAACAAAAAACCCGTGACCATAACATCAAACCCGAATCCTTAACAACTACCACGCAACTTAAACAACAATTCAATAACTATAACGAAAAACTCTTAACCTAAACAACAAATCAATAACCATAACAAAAAAACCCGTAACCATAACAAGAAAACCCGTAACCATAACATTAAACCCCATATACTTAACAACTACCACGCAACTTTATCAACAATTCAATAACTATAACGAAAAAACCTTAACCTAAACAACAAATCAATAACCATAACAAAAAACCCGTAACCATAACAACAAACACGTAACCTTAACATCAAACACGTATCCTTAACAACTACCACGTAACCTTAACAACAAATCAATAACTATAACAAAAAACCCTTAACCTAAACAACAAATCAATAACCATAACAAAAAAACCGGTAACCATAACAACAAACCCGTAAACTGAACAACAAACGTAAATACTTGAGATGTGAGGTAAATACTTACTTGTTACATCTACAAATGCAAAAATGGTTAAGAGTTTTTTGCTCCTCTTCCGTCAGTAGCGCGGCAACATCTGCTGACACCTTATAGTTATGTACAAATGTGTCCTTGTCGTCCAAAAACTTGATGATGAAACCTCCTGGAAAGAGAATCCCCTCGTTCAGCTTATTTCTGTACATTTCTTCTTCTGAACTCATAGGGGAACTCATGTGTTTTTCCCAGATAGAGTGGGGGTCACTTTGTAGCCGAGCAGGAGCCAACTCTGCATTGTTTTCCTGCACCTGCGCTTCCTCCTCCCCACCCACTTCTATTATAGCCTTGTCCCCTATGTTGTCTTTTTCTTTCTTCTTCTTCCCTTCAGTGTAAGGGGTGACTACCCACTTGGAAGGCTTCACCGATCTTTTGCATCTCTTCCGTTTAGGGGGTGCAGCAGCGGCCACCTTCCCGCGTGCCCCCGTTGCACCCCTCTTTCTCTTATTCAAAGCCTTTGAAAACACAATAGGAGCATCTTCGTCATCAGTTGATGTCTCTATTGCTGGCGGAGGGGCATTCTCTGATTGCTTTATTTCCATCCCAGTGTCCTCCCGCAGAGTGTCTGATTCCAAACAACCCATTCGAAGTATAAATATTAAGAAAACATAGCCCCTTCTATCTAAACTTAACAATTTCATAGTAAACCTAACAACTGATGCCTAAACACATGGTGAAAAAATTGCTAACCTATACAAGTTTGCGTCTCCCCATCACCTGCAGAAGGGACTTCAACAGCCGGCGTTATATCCCTTCCAGTGCCCTCGCGTTGAGTGCATGTTTCTGATAATATTCAGAGTATAAACAATAAAAAGCTTAACAACCAATACGTAGACATAACAACCAATCTCTAACATATAGTACAAAAGCAAGCTAACATGTACAAGTTAGTAGCTCCTTCGCTGGCGGGGACACCTTCTCTCCCTCGTTTATTTCTGCCTCAAGACATGTACAAGTTAGTAGCTCCTTCGCTGGCGGGGACACCTTCTCTCCCTCGTTTATTTCTGCCTCAAGAGCTTTGTCAACAGCAGATGCCTCTGGTGGAGGTAATTCTCCTGGCGGATCATCTTCACTCTCCTTGTGGATATCAGAAAACAATGGTTGTGGAGAGGCCCTCCCTGTTGGAGGGGCCTCGCTCTCCTTATTAGCTTCATCAAATAATAATGATTTATTGACATCCCCCTCGTACTGTACATCAATGCCACCCACGGTGCCTAGAGTGTCTGATTCAAAAAATAAACACAAATGAGCTTAGGTACTTCATTGTCAAAAAAAACATAGCATCAGTTACATAACCTTAAAACTAACCAAGATACTTAACAATCAATCTCCAACCTTGGCAATAAATCCCTGACCTTAACATTAGATCCGTAAAGTTAACAATACATTCTTAACCTTAACAATAAATCCCTAACCTTAACATTAGATCCGTAAAGTAACAATACATTCTTAACCTTAACAATAAATCCATATACTTATCAATCAATCTTTAAACATAACACGTAAACGTAATTGCAAGCCACATCTAACCTGTACAAGTTTGTGGCTCCATCAATGAGCTGGACACCAATCCTGTAGGGCTCTTATCCTTGTATACAGAGAGGGTTCCGGATCGTGCTTCGCTTAGTTCCTCTCTCAGTCTTCTATTTTGAGCAGACAGCTTAGCCACCTTCACAGAAAGAGCACTTATCTTTACACGGTCTGCAGCAATCATACCCTTGAATTTATTCTCGTTCTCGCGACGTAATGCTTCGTTCATTGCTGCGATGCTCTTCCAGTAGATAACTTGCTGAGGCCATTCCATTTGCTCAACTGCATCATTTGGCTGCTCGGCGTCTTCATCAATATCCTATGGCATCACATATGCAATGGACAGGTAGAGTATTATTAAAAGGATTAATTGATTCAAAAACAAATGAAATCCACGATTGCTAAGTTCTTACAAGTGCATCAATTGGGATGTCGTCATCTTCTGCTCTCCTCTTCTTCTTGTGAAGAAGGTCTCTTGGGCCACGAGCCCTGTCGGCGTCTACTGCAGCCGGACCCTTAATCCTCCTCTTCTCTCTCTCTCTGTGTCCTCTTCTCTTTCTCTATCCCCTGCTCCTTCCCCCAAAAACCTCCCTCGATTCTTTAAAGTTGTCTGTGTTGCTGTGGAAGCTTTATCGTAGCTTTGCTTGCTTTCGCAACAACAGTGGCCAATCTCAAAGAACCAGCAACGTCCCCAAATCTCACCCAATTTGTCAGGGGAGGCCTCACCGTCCAACCAAGTGCTGGCTTCTTGATGCCGGTGAGTTCATAATACCACAACTGCACATTAGAGAAATAAAAACTTAACTTAATAAGTAACCCTAACAATAAAAACGTAACCTTAACAACCAAACCGTAATATTAACAACCAAACCGTAACCTTGACAACGAAACTGTAACATTAACAACTAAACCCTAACCTTCACAATCAGTAAAAAACATGATTACTTACACAAACTAGAGGGGTACACCCTTGCAGATATAATGTCGTCTTCTCTGGCTCAGGACCCTTCAGTGCCCTCTCTATCGCGTCAGATGTCTCACTGAATATATAGCTCCCCCAAGCAGTGTTATTGACCTGTTCGATGCTGTCGACGTACTTGAATAAATGCCTAGGAACGCCGAAAACACTGCTTGGACACCAAATCATGCTCAGCTGATAGAGGATCTGTAGCAGGACAAAGTCCTTCACATCTCGGCGATCAGAAGATAGTACCAGCTTCAAGAGCAGGTCCTCCACATTGCGTCTGGTGGGGCCTCCTTTGGGGGGAGCTATACTGCTGGAACCCCTCGCCTCGGGTTTGTCAAAAAACCTGGACCAAATCCTATTTTTCCTGTCCCGATTGTGGTCAACATGAAGCCCCTCATTGGAGAACCATGTATGCTCCATTACCCACTCAAGGTTGAATGAACATGCGATCTCTTCTCCATCATTCCTATCAGTGAAGACGAATTTTTTGCTCTTCTTGTCCCACTGACTCAAAATGTGCTCAAATGTGGGAAGATCGACACCAGGTGGGCCAAATTGGACGTAGTGTCTGAATACACTATCTTCGTAGGCCGCAAAATGCCTTGGCCCCATATGCGTCACCAAATTCCGCATGAAGTCGTGATAGGCACCGAAGCTGGCGGTGGGCCGCAACGTAATAGCTGGCTTTGCCCTTTTTCTACAAAACAAAAACACAAGACGAGAGCATTTTTGAGTATAATCAGTAAACATAACAACTATGTTGTAAACTTTACGGGTAAACCAACAACCTTAACAACAACCCCATAACCTTAACAACAAAAGCCTAACCTTAACAACCAAAGCCTAACCTCAACAACTAAACAACAACCTCAACAATAAAGGCATAAACCTTGCATGTTAACAGTAACCAACAACCTTAACAACAACCCCACAACCTTATCAACCAAAACCTAACCTTAACAACCAAAGCCTAACCTCAACAACCAAACACAACCTCAACAATAAAAGCATAGACCTTGCATGTTAACAGTAACCTCAACAGCTAACAGACACCGTAATTTTGGACCTTCCCACCAGACTAAGACCATTATCAATCAAACCATAACCTTAACAACATAAAACTTACGGTAAAAATTACCTTTTGGGTGTTGCCACGTGCTTCTCTTTTTCTCCTCTCTGTAGACCAAGGAGCGCTCTAGTGGCATCGTTGGACGCGCCGGTGGTGCCGGTGCTGCCCTCTAGACCTTCGCGGGGGCCTACACTTAAATTTTAAAGCGGGCTTCTGGGATGAGAATGGCTGGTTGCGATGTCCTCTAGAACATCAGCAATCGCAGCTCGAGATTCAGATTCAGTCCGCACTGCAGTTGTATGGGCTCTTTCTGAGATTTTGAACCGCTGGGCGTCATCGCTTTCGTTGTGGTCGACATTGAGGTTGGCTTTGGGGGTTGAATCGTCGCTCATTTTGATCCCTTTGCTTTGATTCGGTTTGCGTTGGGGTCGGTTGATTTAGTGCTAGGGTTTTGAATTCATTTTGATCCCTTTGCTTTGATTCGGTTTGCGTTGGGGTCGGTTGATTTAGTGCTAGGGTTTTGAATTGGGTTTCTGGAGTCGGTTTGCTTGCAGAAGAGAGAGATGACAGGGTACGGACGAGGAGGTAACTCATAACGGAGAATTTTAAACGTAAGGGTATTTTGGGCATTTCGAGCGGGGTTTAAACGGAGTTACGCCTAGGGATTCGTTTTGGGGGCTGGAAGAAAATCGGGGGCGGTTTTAGGGGTAAATGACCCGTTGAAAAAGTCTTGGGGGGGCAGAGCACGTTTTGGGTTGTTTTGGAGGCTGGAAGCAATTTTCCCAAATTTTAATAAAATGTGATGAGTTGTCACCATATTATTCGATGATGTGAGTAATTTTTAAAGATGATAGAAAATAAAGAAAAGTGGAGAAAAGTGAGTTAGATGAGTTGATTGATGTGACTCATTTCTTGTGTTTTGTTTATTTTTAAAAGTATGAAATGAGATGTAATGAGATGAGTTGTCACAATATTATTGGAGAAAAATGGAGAAAGTGAAGGAAAGTGGGTTTTGGAAAGTGAGGGAAAATGAAAAAGTAAAGGAAAGTGGGTTTTGAATTCTGGGGGAAACGAAACAAACAGCCCCTCAATGTATCAACTACATTGCTCTTCACTGGCATGGAATTGTTTCCTTACCTGATATTTGCTTTGCAAATTGCTTGTGGAAACAAATGCAGCAAATACCTAGCACCAGAGAACGCATCAATCATTAATGCCACAAATGAATTTAGCAAGTAATACTCCAAAACAATAAATAAGACATACATCCACTTCTGGAAATACGTCATACGCTACAACTGGGAATTAAATAACATAAAAATACATGTTATAGATTCAAAACAGATTCTGAACATTCTTATCTCGAGAAAATTTGGTAGTATAAGGAGGCCACAGCTGATTCAAACTACATTAAGATATATAAGAATGAATTAAGGATGAAAGTGATTAGAGAATTTCGTATTGATCTACTCGCACTTGATAGAATGGTAAATGTGCCTGACAAAGAGTAGGGATGCACGGAAACCAACAGTTCCAAGCATTAGGAAGAAGCCATAACAGATGCAGGTCATGTAACCGAAGAAGAATGAAGTCTGCATGAAACCTGACATGTCTGATCTCGCATGGTAGTAGTATAGACAATAAAAGAAGATGAATATACCGGTTGAGCCTCCACATAGAACAGATCTGCAGGTAAAGTATGATTATAGATTTAGTAGGCAGTTATCTGAAATGCATCTAATTGAGCTCAGTGTTTGCATATCTAATAATAATACTAATTAAGTGTGATTACGATGTCAAACTTCATATCTGGTCATTTCACTTCCCAGACCTGGACAAGCCTTTAAAATTGAGAATAATATGATATCTTGACGACAGCCTCTAGCCACCCTCACGAATGGGCTTATTCCAGCTAATGTAACCATTCACATGGTTATAATTTCCTACACCATATTCCTAACAAACAAATTTAGATTAATTAATCTCCTAAATTATAATATATACAGCACTTTATCTAAGAATATAAATTAAAAAAAGGGGGACATCAAGACTGATTGCTAGGTGCAAATATCTCTAAAAAGCATCTGGGCTTTACAGTCTTGTTCTCTCAACAAATCTTAGATTATGCTCCTGAGGACCTACCAGGAAAAAAATGGTTCGGCGATCAAACATAAGCATGTAATTAAGAAGTACCAATTCATGTTATGAACAACGAATCTTAGATACGCTCGAATGAGAAAAAGAAAAGAAGTAGATGGCTCATCAACAAATTAAGCAAGCAAACTAAAAGCTAGGTGCCTCTTACCAACACCCGTGGATGCTTCCCTACAAGCTCTTCCCTCTATGATCTCGTGACACATGAAACAAACAAAGAAGATATCCTAAGAGTATTCCTAGGTTTCACAGATGATGACAACATCCATAAACTGAAGATATAAGTGTCAGGCTTTCAGCCCACGACATTAATATACACCCTTTACCCTGAATCTGAACTTTAACCTACCAGCAGTTCTTGAGCAAGAAGACCCAAAGCAGACTGTCTTATTTTCCCAAGATTCTGGGGATCATCATTTCCATTTCAAATGGATTCAAGTTATTTCACTTTGTATAGAAGGTAACTCTAAATTGTCAAGCACCCACGACACTTTCATACACTGATGAGACTTACCAGTTAGTAACGACCTCTATTTCACTTGTAAGGGCTCGGCACACCAGAAATCCAGAGGAGGTACTCATCTACCCTCAGAAATATTTTGTCATACACCATCTAGATGTTATGTTTTGCCCTAATCAATTACATTAAATCATGAAACCACAGTCAAACAGTCATTTTGTGCCACAATGGACCAACATGATATAAACTAACTATGCATTATAGTTTGATATGGAAGATACATCCAAGAAGCACAATCAGTAAAAGCTGTGACAACAATGAGGCAGAAATACAGATGTATTCTGATAAAACAATATAAAATGCAGAGACTAAAAAATCCTGAGAGAAAACCCATGAAGATTAATTTAGAACTATGCCATAACAATAAAATCTTCCAGAAAACGACAAAAGCTATTTTGTAGATCATGCTTATTGCATTATTTCTAAGGGAAAAGGCAAAGACATAAAAATAGCATGCAGTATTAAGGCAGAAATGCTGATATATCAATATATCATATATTCAAATACAACCAAAAAATTTGCAGAGGCCAGAAAATGCTGAGAAAAACCAATGTAGATCAATACTAAAACTATGCCATAATATTAACATTTAAGCAAACAAAATAGCTACCTCGTAAATCACGCTTATTGCAATATAACTATGGGAAAAGGAAAACACACAAAAAAGGACAGAATCTTACCTCCACCACCATTCATGGTCCTCAACAGCAAGCTGGAAGTATGTCAATGCCACAGTGATGAATGCCGTGACAATGATCAGGATGATGAAAACAATGAAGAGGATGCTGTATATGGTGTAAATTTTGTGACCCCACACACTAGCAAATATATAGTACAGCTCAATGTAGATAGCACTAAAAGGAAGGAATCCTGCCATTGCCATCTGAGGAATAGTGCCTCTATACCATGGAAGTTGAGGGATTTCTCTCGGATACTTTGTGGTTCGGCACGGAGCTTGGAACTCGGTCTTGCCATTTTTACCAGCGACACCACCAAGTACAAGCAAAGGGGAAGTCACCAATGTCCAAATAAGAAGAATCACAACGATTGTACCAAAGGGTAAGGCTGCAGTTGCACTATATGCTATCGCGACAGTATTAAGGAAACAGAAAGTCAAGAAAAGTGGTCCACAGAATAAGCAGCCAGTCAATAACAAATTCCTCACCTACAAATCAAAAATCCAATAACTATCAGGAATCAATTGAGAAAAAAAGGCCATAAATTCTAAGGTAATCGCATACCCAGTTTTTCCCTTCTAGTTGCAAGTAGAAGGAAGTTGCAGTATAACCGGCGATGCCAGAGGTAAGAGCATATATAACAACCAAAGCTGTGAAAAGAGCTCCCCTATTGTATGGATAGAACACTCCAACAAGTGCGAGGAGAAAGATGAATATTGTGCTGGTGATAAACAACAAAGTGTTAGATATTGCAAAAAGAAATCGGAAGGATTAAGAGTAAAGTACCATATAGAATTCTTACAGAGCTAAGAGCTGAGTTCCTGAACCAAGAACAGCAGCAAACAAAGAGTTGTGCTTGGGGAACCGGAAGACGTCCCCATGAATATATTTCCATCCAGTTTCCTCTTGGTCCTCAAGAGCCTCGTCATCATGCGAGTACCTTTCAGGAATCAATTAAATTATCTCAGCAGAGGGAAGAAACAAAGACCTATGAAAAGAATATAAGAACAATGGACGTGTATGTCTTACTTAATGAAGTCATTCTTGAGCACACGCATGAGGATTGTAGCAAGAAACCCAGTTAGAAGAAGAACAGTCACGCATGAATTAATTATAGAGAACCAATGAATTTCAAGATGTTGTGGCATAGAAGATGATTTCGAGTACTTTTCCATTCTTTTATCAAATGGGATATCGGTCTTCTTCCAAGTAACAGAATATGAGAACTCCATATCCACTTCCTTATCATCCGTGATATCAACAGACAAATTCGGGTCAGTTTGGACATTGATTTCAATGACACGGTCATTATTGTAGAGAATGTCAAAGTGAATGTGTTTAAAGAGCAAGTATTTGTATTCGCTTGGTTCAAGCTTGTCTTTCTCAACTTTCCCCATGAATCCCCAAAAGGGCAAGTCATCATAGTACATCTGAAAGTAGTAGTCCTTTGACACTGCATCCCTAAGCTTTGCAACATCTTGTTTGGACAAAGTCTTCTTGCAAACTGTCTTAGATTGCTTGTCCTCACGAAAGTTCAACTCGTATGGGGCATCCACTAGACGATCGCCATTTAGAACTTCACCAAGAGCCTCTTTCTTCTCATGCACATGCTCTGCAGTTAGTGCCAATTGAATATAGTGACTTTTTAAATGCCAAATAAAATAGTTTATCTTACATGGAACAACTAAGAGCAGTTAGCAAACCTGGTGTACAAAATGGCAAGTCATAGAACCGATATGTTTCACTGCAAGAAAACAATAATCCAATGTCAAATGCCGGAGATGACACATCGGTAAAATGAAATTTGGTAATAGCAATCTCGCTAGACCAGGAAGTATTGTGTACTACAGGCTTTACTTCTTCACCACTATGCCACCTAGTTAGCAACTTCATTGTGCTATAGTTCATGGTTTTTGTACTGAAGAATCCTAGAAGCAAGCTTTTTACACACAAAGATAAATATCTATATCTGAAGGGAAAACTTTCAGTCAACTCAATCCATCGGTCAGCTGGTGGTCCGAGGAAGAACCTTGTAATAAGTACATCCTGAAATCCTCCTATTTTGTACTGATCCTAGAGTAGACGACCCTTGAATCACTAGATGTCCACTGAATAGGTCCTCTAGATACTTCTCATCTCTAAAGACCTCCAAAATACAAACCTAATATATATTGCACAAAATATAGCTAGGACAAAGCATTTTCTATCATATTTTTCACGCCTATTGAACAGTTAACAACTTTGGACTAGCGAAAAACTTAAACCTTTGCAAGTTAATGTACTTCATATAGAGGACAGAATATGAATGTGTACTGCTAGTCATCTCGATTTGCTTTCGTTCGTATCAGATGTGAATATGGAATCAAGGATCTAGGAGATAAACATATATCACATGAAAAACAGAGACCTTCACTCACATCAGAATCTATAGATCAACGGCCGCGAGATTAAATACACTACGAGTCATATATAGAATATGAAATCCATCAACTTAGAAAGAAAATAATACTCTTTGATATTGCAAAAGCTTCAAATTCTCCTATTCAACCTCCAATAACAAAAGGAGTCAGGTGGATAAATGGAGAATGCTGATACCCTAAGAGACAGCAGTTCTAGAATTTCGATATAAACTATAGCCAGAGCTTAATAAATTTATCAAACACAAACAGATCCACATCAAAATCAAAATACCTCATATTAGAAAACAAGATTTCCACAAACTTTACCTTGGATTGTGAAAAGGCCCAACTTTGTTGGCATACAAAGGAACATGATCCCCCTCCTTAAACTTGTGATTATCTCCTTCAACTCCTAACCCTAGCCCAATCAACACAACAAACAGAACAAATCCCCCGATCTTCCCCATCTCGACAAATCTAGGGTTCTCCTTCCAAATTGAAATCCACAGATCTAAGAACGAAAGCTCATCAAAAATGAGATTTTTTTTCACAAAGAAGGCAACTTTTTGGTGACCCTGAGCTTATAAGCAACGAGCTGGAAGGGGTCTGCGATTTATTGGAAAATGTGAAGGGCTACTAAAGAAAGATTTGATCTTGAGGTCGGTGTTAAATTTTATCTTGATAGGTTTTCTTTAGATCTGAGTAAGGGGGGTAGAAGAAGGGTAAGATTTGTAATTATTAAGAAGGAGAGGTGTCGTGGGGCTCCTTTAATTACGTTTTAAGTTTTAAATTTGGGGACCCTTCAGCATGGCACTCAGCAGTCACCCGGCCATGGGACGTGGGATCCACAAAACTAATGACAGTGTCGGTGTTGCTCGACAACTGAAGTGGGGTCCAGCTTTTTAAATGATAAGTTAAATAGCTTGTGAGAAATGGATGGGTGACCCAAAATTTCAATTTTATGCTGTTCTTAATTATAAAGAAAGCAAAGGTCGTATTAATTTTGTCCCAACAAATTACAATGTCGAAAGAAAATGAAGTATTAAAGTCAGTGTTTAGGAGAAATTTGCTGGAGTTAGGCTATATATATATATATAACATTAATGATACAAGTCTTTATCTTAAAATTGAGTGAACTTTACATGCCATCTTACCATAGAGCTATATATATTAATCTTTTTTACCATTCACATTTATCAAGACCAGCATAAGTTTCCCTCTTTCATAGTTTGGATGCAGAAAAGAGGGTTGCATTAAATAGTCCATATGCATGCAACATTTGATTCTACAAAAAATGAATATAAAACTTGAGAGTTTAGATATCTACAAAATCGGTCATAAATCAGCATATACAACTTGAGAGCTGCATATATAACAGGGAAAACCTACTAAAAATATAAATAGAGATGAATTCCACCAATGAGAATTGAGAAATCTGTCATTTTCAGACAAAGGACTACGCAGATGAGAAGCAAATTCAGAATTTCATACAGAGTACCATAACAATTGTTAGGCTGAAATGCAAAAAGAAAAAAAAACAATTGAACTTCATGCAAAGTACAATAAGAATTTGTTAGGCTGAAAAGCACAACAAAAAAAGTCACCAATGAAAGGATCATCAACCTAATGTTAGGCAATCTTCGACTAAGGCAAGATTATCAAACGGAATTCTTACAAAATGCTCAACAAGTTTAAATGTGCAATCTACCCATCTTCTTCCAACAACTTGCTGTAAAATAACAATTTATACATAAAATTTGGCTCAGCAAAAGCCCTATTCTTGAATATAAAGGTGCAAACACTGGAAGTTTTCTGCCTAGCTCAATTCAGTACTCATTCTACCATGGCATCTACTGAAGCAGCACCCTTCGGCTTGTTTGCAGATTTCTTTTTGCTCTTACCTACAAAAAAGAAAATACGGGGATGAACATTAAAAAGATGCAATACGCAGTTCCAGTTCGTAATCTGTCATAAGAATTATAAGCCTGCTATAGTGCTATGATTCCAAATGAAAATAGAACGTCAAGATATTACACTTGGAAAAAGACAGTACGATAATTAACTCAATATGTTAAGCAATCTTTCTGTAACTGTGTAAGTTATAAGGAAAAACATTCAAGAAAGTTCTTTTGTTTACTGGTGGTGTAGATTTCTATTAAGTAAAGCATTGAAGGTTGCAAATGAGAATAGTCAATGCGCTCATGAAGCATAAGGTTTAGCACGACATCTAAATGAACAAGACAAAGGTTACACAGGTCAATCCTGGATCATGATCATAACACAAGAGTCCCCTAAATGGAAGCATTATCAATTCAAAGGACACAACTGCAGAAAATGTTGAAATAGTAGCAGCGAGTGCAAGTTTGAAATTAGAAAGATGCTAAAAGGCACAAATTATATGTTCTCCCTTCAGATATTGTTGAAAACCTTTACTACTATGGCCTTTCAAATCTGGACATTCAGTTCAGTGTAAAGCCTGTTATGCAACCTATACTGCATTAATTAAGGTTTATAGAAATTTACTTCTTCTAGAGAGTATTTCGCTTGAGTTATCCACATATCTTTCCATTGCCAATACCATCAAAACACACACACACACACACACACACACACATATATATATAGAATGAAAGGAGCGAGCATTACCCTGCTCCTGGATGAATATCATAATTAATAGTGATATCAGTATTGGTATGTGTAAAATAAGAGTAAAGCTCTCGTAAACTTAAGTGGACTGAGAACTATATCCACCAACAATTTTTTATCCGTTGGAGTCGTGTTGGTGTGTGATACAAATTAAGATTATCTTTGAGATGTGTACCTAGATGTGTATCACAAAACAGCATGAACCTCAAAACAAAATCAAGAGATAAAAAAGTTGGTGGATAGAACCCTCAGCCCACTTATTTATTCTAGCTTTTTCCTATAAAATATTGTATCTCGAAGTTACCAGCAATGCATTGGATACATCATAAATATATGCTCCTGATTTAAATTTTTAGATCGGTGAAACATGTATCAGAATATATCAGCCGAAGTTAGATGTTAAAGTATCTGTTAGGTATGAGAGTGAAGAACAATGTCTCCAAACACTTCAACATAAAAAAAAAACTAAGTAGAAGCTACAATGACATGTTCTTCGATCCAAACAGAAAGTACACTTACCTTTTCCCTTCAACTTTTTGATTCTGAGCCTTGAAGTCCCCTTTACATTGAACTTGATATGAGCCTTTTGATTATTGTCTTGAGCAGATCCTAATTGCCAGAAAGATAACAGTCAGAAACTAGCCTATCATATTATAGAAGCTTGAAACTATGTACTGTTTACTTTAATTTGATTAACATTTTATATTTTTATGGAAAAAACCAAATATATAAAATTGCATTTGAATTATGCCTGAGAAAAAATTTGATCAAGGAGAGAGTTTCCATCGACTTGAAATGATGGGGAGAGCTATTCAAATTAATGGTTAGAAAGCTATTCAAATATTAAAAAGTTATCAAATTAATGGCTAAATTTACTGGCTATCAATTAATGTCATCAAAGATATTTAAGGTTGCACAGTAGTCAAAATACTTATTTGCATGAATTATAAACAGAAATAAAGAAGAGAGGACCAGAACCTCAAGATCAGATAACCAAAGCAAACTATTGAATTAAGACTTGGAAAGGGAGGAAAATGCAACTCTGAGCATCTTTACCAATTGTGAAATAGACTATTCTCCCAGAGGAAGAGCCTTAGTACGCTCTTTTAGACTTGGAACTGCTATAATCTAATCATATTACGCAGACATGGGACATCGATACAATCATAGACACATGCAATTATAAGGATAATCACATATGCAGCTACCATAAACAAAATATACAATTGCCTGGAAACATAAATAAAACAAAGCATGGAGATGCACGTGTGCATATACTTATGTGTCCCAAATGCCTCTATGTGAAGTATATACATGCTTTCACTCAACTTCCTACAATATGAGAGAATAGCATCTCAATGTCATTCCAACTAGAAGCTTGACTATAATTAGTTGCATATGATTATCACTAACGTTTAGCACATATGCTCGACTTCATAGCAGGAATTACGATACGGTTTGATTTACATACTCCCATAGTAACTCATTAGGTAGTATGTTGTATAAATTATGAATTTTCCTTCTAAATATTCCTGTAGAAATCAATGTTCCAAGATGAAAAAAAATTATAGAAAAATGAGTAGAGTCGTATCAAGAATGTCTTACGGGTATCAAAAAGAATCCGAACTAAAACTACATTACAGACTTGTGGGGCGAGTTTGAGAAACATATATCACATAACATGCACAAAATCGAAGAACTTTGAACTGCCACACCAGATAATGGTGATTCAGAACTTTGAATATAACTGAATCCTAAACTATGGCCCAGAAGTATGTTTTCTCTATGCTATCATTTTTCGTTAAACAGCTTGAAACCGGAAAGTAAGCCAAAAAATTAATAGCAAGCATAATTTTTTTTAGGGTTCTTTAAAATACGTCTATTGCACATTCAGCAATGAAGATCAATTTTAAACGGGAAGGAAAAATTCAAAAAATAAAAATAAAAATAACTAAATCTACCCTCACCGTCTGCAACTGCCATCTCTACATCTTGCATCGTAACCAAACCCTTCTCTATCGCCTCCTTCTGCTCCTGGTCACCATAAAGAAATCCAAAAAAAAATCAATCTTTCCAATATACATTGCAACTAACCCTAAATTTATAAGTTTTCAACATGATCTCGCATACCCTTTTCAATTTCTTGAGGAGCTTTCGCTTGCGCTTCCCAGAGATGGAGACGGGCGGGGCCCTCTGCTTGAGCTTTCCCGTGCGAGGATCGCCATGGATCGCTCGCTTCTCCTGCTGGATTGCTGCCCTTTTCCTCTTCTGGATCTCGTTGAATGCGGCCATGGCGATTGCTAGCCAAAACCCTAACCCTAGTTCTCGAAAAGGGGATGGGTACTTAAAAGAGGGGATAAAAGTCCTAGATTGGCGCGTTCCTCCGTGTTAGTGGTCTCGCCGAGCACGTGCTCGCTTGCACGTGACCTAAATCCCATAACCTTTATTAAAAAAACAATAAACAATAATAAAACAATAAAACAAAAAAAAATGGTGTGGTAATTTTTAGAGGAAAATTATTACTAAATTCTTATATGGATATGCTTGTAGAGCCTGACTTAAAAGTTCAAGAGAACAAATTAGATTAAAATCATTATTTTGAAATTAATTTCTTCTAAATCCTAGTAGATATGAAAGCATTGGTTTTATTTTATGTTTTTCATGACTCTAGGTTTATAATTAAATTTTCAAAAAGCAGAGTTTCTTGATGCATATATGTGTAATGGCAGTTTTGTTGACTTTGATCTAATTATCTTTCCTTCAAAGAATTAATCACAAAAAGAGTAAACTTTCACATTACTGCTGAAGAGTAAGTGCAATGTATTTGTGATTCACTGAGAACAAACTTTTGAAGATTAGAATAACAATGTGCAAAGCAGCCTAAAACTAAACTTTTGAGAATTATAGTTACATGCAAACAACAGTATCATGTATAACTGCTTTCAATCACCACTGATAAGCATACAAAGTCAATTCCACAATTTCCTCGTTAAAACAAAAGTGCGAGAATAACATCCCTTTTTTTATGAACTGAACTTGACAGATACAGAACACTGGTTCCAGAGGAACATCAAATCAAATCGCACTTATAAAAGAGACAACAGTAAATGATTATGTTGAGAACAAAGCTCTTCGATGGGTCATCAACATTATCCAACAACAACGATGAACCTACGAGGTTTTAGCGGGTTGCCATGGCTGGTAGCGAGTCCAGTCCCTCTGCCCGGGGTTCAGAGTGTGACCCTTTGAGTGGTAGATGTACTGCTCACCTTCTCCAGAGAAGTTCTGCTTGTGCTCCAGTCCATACCTCTGCGGTTTCAGCATCAGAAGCTACAAAGAAAAACATGCAACACTGAGGATTCTGAGGGAAAGCGGGAGAATCTGATGGCTTTAACAGTGTTATTTGATCCTAATTAAACCATATACCAAGACAGTAACAATCAAAATCACACGATTTTTAGTTTTTTGCTTGTTAGTGCCTTGGATCTTCAGAGGGTTTTGATGGGTAGGAGCGAGAGTGGTTAGTGTGGAAGTCGTGCATTTAAGCGTTTGTTTCTAGTAAAAAGAGCCATGAAAAAAACAGGAGAACGACTTTCAATCTGTAAAACAGGGAAGGCTTCATTCTCAAAAATGTCTTCCACTCCAAATGTTGAGGCTAAGAAATATAAAACAATCAAATAATCAATGTAAAAATGATGATATTCATATAATGGAAGTTGCATAAACTATATTTTAGTATTAAATCCACATTATTTGTCCTTGCAATTTTCTACTTCATTTTACACGCAAATTAACGAGTGTTTTACACTCTCCTGTTTACTAGTATAATGACACATGCCATTAGAAAGTGACTCTCATACTTTCACCCTAAACAGCCCCTGAATGCCCCATGAAAGTTCACTTCAAATATTTTTGTCAAGCAGATGGATCAGCGGAGAGCATTTGAGACTTATTCCCCTGAACAATTTACTACTTGTCTTCTTTCTTCTCTTGGGAGAGTTGGATCTTTGAATGAGCAAAAGATGATGATATTACTGATCTAAAATGCAATTGAATGAAGTTTAAGTCAGTAATAATGTTGCCATCTTGGGCATAACCCTTTTAACCTCCCACAAAGAATTAACAAACATTTTTTAGGCATACAACCAAATCCAGGGACAGGTGTTGAGTTGAGATTTGTCAGACAGAAATTTGAAGCTTCCAACAAAAGTTATTCGCAAAAACCATTAGTTAGCAAAGAATGATTCTAAATTCCAATCAACTGATGAATGAAACCCAACTTGACTGACAACATTTGGAATTTATACATACCAATAGTAGGGGAAGGGGGATTTCAAATTTTAATTTAATTTATATGGAGATAGATATACCTCATCGCCAGTGTGGTCGGTGACGAAGTGCAACCAACCATGCCACTCAGCAGGCACTTGGGAAGCATTATAGCGTCCCTTATCTGCATACTCTACCCACCTGTGTCGTCCTGCAAAGATATTCACAAGAAGACCCAGTTACCTTCGCCTCTTGATCACTAGAAACTAGATCAACTATCTCAACCTTCAGATACTAAAATGTGTGAATGCTTGTTTTCACAAGAAGGAAATCCTCAAACTCAACAAAAAAAATTCAAGCTAATCAAGCTTGCTATAGTGCATGTGAAACTGCTGAAAGCTTCCACTTTAAAGATTAAAGTAAACCCCAACGAAAACTACAACAGATATCCTCTTGACCAATTAAAATATCATTATTAAAACTCACTCACCAGCTGTACATACAGAAACGCGTTTGAAGTTTAGCAATTCAGATAAACTTTATTTAAAAAGAAACTAGTGGGGTATGAGATCTTTTGTTGGCTTGGTCAAACACATATATCATATAAACATTTCTTTTTCTTTTAAAAAGTTGTGTTGAGGATATGTTATGAGTTGAACATAAGATATGACAAAGCTAGAATCTCGATGAACTTTTCACATCAGCAATATTGACATTCCACTGAAAATAATAATAGAAAGAGACGGCTAACCATATTGAGTGTTTTCCAGTTTCTCATAGTACTTGTTTCCAAATTTATCAACTCCAACAAGGGTTGCGCCAATATTGTGGATTTTTGTTTGCCTGAAATATCAAATTGAACAGCACATCATAATTAACACCATCTCATTAAGACTGAAGTCAGTGTTGCATAATTTGAAAGGTTCCAAAATAAATCAGAAGAAAGATTAAAGTCCGTTTGATTTAGTCTAGCAAGAGAAAGAACAGATGAGCATTTTTTTTTTAATAATGAACAGAAGAGCACTTAAAAGATGAATCTCAGGAAAAGATAAGCACGAATCTCATCAATACACAATGCTACAGAACCGTGGTCTGGGAAAAGTAAAGTTTGCAGTTGTAGTATTTAATACCTGTCAAAAACCTTAAATTTGTAGATAGGGCAGTCCATTTGGGCCTGAGGCCCGGGCCCGGCCCAGTGTCCAGACTGGACCCGGCTGGGCCCAAGGGCAGCTCAGATTCCCGGGTCAAACAGGGCTCTAGGCTCTGGTCACCTCGTGGAGGCCCGTACCCGGCCTGGCCAGGAAGATGGCAAAGCCGGATAGCCCGGGTCCGGGTCTGGCCCGGTCCCAGGGCCAGAACCGGCAGAAGAATTTGAACTGGATCGTCGCTCGTTGTCCATGTACCGTGGACCGGACTGCCCGGCCGACCGAACCAGACCCAATCCAAACAGTCACGCCAGGCCTGGGTTGGCCCGGACCCGGCCCTGACCGATCTGACCAAAATAGCCTATAACTGCTTTTTTGGTCTTTTGACCAAAATATTCCTAAAAACAGTCAAAACGATCAAAATTTGAGAGTATTTTTATCATTTGGCTAGGAGCTGTCTAATACTTTCATTTATTTTTCTCATCCAAACTCATCTACTTCTCTCCACTACTCTCTTATACTCTCTAATACTCTTTTATTCTCTCTTTCACTCTCTAATTCTCCAATCAAATAGCTTCCTCCAATTATGAAGGGCAAGTTCCAACTCCCGATATTCCAATATTGAAATGAGTCTTACTCATACTCCTACTACACCTATAGTTATTCCTCCTACCGATATTGAAGGTCGAGATCTAATGTGTGGAATTTTTTCGAGAAGATAGAAGTCACCAATGATTAACATGGTAAATTTCTCACACAAAAGACTAAATGTACATTTTATGGCCATATTTTTCAAGCTCATCATAAAAGTGGCACTAACCACCTCAAACGCCATTTAGAAAAGCATAATAGAGCTCAGCGACAATGCCTCAATCCGTCAGTCTTTACTCTCCCAATCATCCTCCGGTAGCCTCGGTTCTTGAAACTATGACGCAATTAAATCCAGAAAATGCGTCATCAGGTTTATTGTTCTTAAAAGGGATATTTTTAAAAGACCTTTTTTGCTAAATAATTAGCAAAATCGACCATTTTGCTAATTATTTAACAAAATCGACATTTTTTGATCAATAAGGCCCAAAAGAGGTCGATTTTAAAAAACAGGCTGATCGAAACATACGAGATTAGTAGTCCCGTATCGTCTAAAATCATAACCAAAACATACGGGACTACTAGTGTCGTATGTTTCTGCTTTACAAATCACAACCAGAACATCGGCTGCCTGAACTGAAAACGAAGGCCCAAAAGAGATCATTCACGCGGTCCGAGAGCTCGTAGGGCTGATAAAAAGAGTAGTCAGCCAGTCTCCTAGTCCAAGGATGCTCCTTTGGCCGCAACACGACCCTTGTGAGGAAAAGAGAAGAGGAAGCGATCATGTACGAAGGGTACTGGAGCATGGTACCCAAGAAGAGAGCTCCGCGATGAAATCGGCGAGGAACTCGAGCTGAGGCGGCCCGCGAGCGACGTTGACGAGGCCGCTCAAGAAGCACTTGGGCGTGGGAGCAGTCAGTTCGAAATTGAGGAGGCTCAGGACCTGGGATTCCATCTGAAGAGCCTCCTCCTTGTGTAATCCTCCTCCTTAGTGTAATTCTCCTCCATTAGAAGGAGGAGCTTTTGAACCCGAGTGTGCCTCTCTTCGTGCTTGGATGCGATGAGCAAGCAAACGGAGGCGAGAAGCTAGAGCCAGTGGCAGTTGAGGTCCCCGCACTAATTGACGGTGAGATACAGCATCTCTGGTGAGTCGACGCGGAGCTCCTCCAAGAGATGAGCGACCCAGTCGACGGTGGAAGCCCTCGTATCAGTGGTGATGTCGTTCTAAACCCACATATTTTAAAAAACGGTCTGCCCCGGGACTACTAGTCCCGTATGTTTTGGTTGTGGTTTTAGAACATACGGGACTATTAGTCTCGTATGTTTCAATCAGCCTGTTTTTTAAAACCAATTTTTTTAGGCCAAAAAAAGGTCGATTTTGCTAAATAATTAGCAAATTGATCGGTTTTGCTAATTATTTAGCAAAAAAGGTCTTTTTTAAAAAATCTCTTCTTAAAAACCTTCCTTTTAAATTAGAAGATGGTAAATTTGAGGATATGATTAAAGATGGTTTTTATCCCTCATTTAAAAAAAATTCTCGTCAATCTTGTCAACGTGATATTTTAAAATATTATCACGAGGAACAAATAAAAATAATTTTTTATTTTTAAAATTTAAACTATAAATTTTCTCTAATTTCTGATATTTGAACATCTAGAGTACAAACTGATTATTTATGTATCACAGCATACTAGATTGATGATAGTTGGCAAATATTTAAAAGAGTTATTTTTTATTGCATTTAAAGATTCACTAATTGGTGTTAAAATGGCAAATTTAATAATAGAACTTTCAAAATTAGAAATTTCTGAAAAAATATTCTCTTTCACTAGATAACGCAAGTAATAATAATGTAGTTATAGATTATATCAAATCATCTTTGCTATTGTCATATCATGGTGGTATTTTTCATATTAGATGTATGTGTCATATTTTAAATTTAATTTTTCAAAGTGCATTTAATGAAATTAAACCCATGATAGAAAAGGTAAGGGTTATAGTTTATGCTCATAATGCTTCTGAACAAAGACTTAAAACATGAAAACAATTCTGCAAAAAAAAAAAATTGAAACCTGTTAATTCCAAAAGATGTTGACCATAGGTGGATTTCACCTATGCAATGTCAAATGTAATAATAAAGTATAAAGAAATTATAAATGATTTTTTTATTTTCTATGCTTTTAGTTCTAGCTCTGATAGTATGCATGGAATAACTGATGAAGAATGTTTAGTTATATATAGTGTAAAAGAAATGTTATAACTTTTTATGATTCTATTATGTTATTATGTGGTTGTTATTATCCAACTATTATTCAAGATGTTTTACAAGTTTTAAATATTCAAAAAAATTACTACTTATCGTATTGATAATTATTTCGAAAATAAGATTTCTCAAATGGAAAGTAAATTTAATAAATATTTTAGGCTTATTCCTATTATTTTTGGTTTGGGGTTCTTATCAATCCATCTTTGAAAGATGTTGGCCTTCAAAATTTGTTAAATTTTTTGTATGAAAATATGATAATAGACATGATGATGGTCAGACTGTTACTGCCCTTCCTCATCATCACTATTAAATACTATTTTTAAAGATTATATGAGGAGTATGCAGGTAGATATAATGTAAGTACACATTAGCCTACAGCTTCTGTTTTTACGAGTTCAAACCGAGGCAAAGATAAGAGTTTTGATAGGTAATTAATGATAGTGAGGCTAACTGGTAGTTGTGGATCTGGATCATCATCAAAGAAAGTTTCTGAAATTGAACAATATTTATCCACACTTTTAGTTAATGCTCAAAATAATGATTTCGATATTTTACAATGGTGAAGAGTATATGAAACAGTTTCATATTCTATACTTTCCATCATGGCTAGTGACTTACTAACAGTGTAGGTTTCTACAGTAGCATCGAAATCCGCCTTGAGCATATCAGGACGTTCGATCGACCATAGAACATCGCTAGATCCGTCTACCGTACAAGCGGTAATGTGCCTACAAAATTGGTGAAGATCCGAGAAGAGAACTCAAGGAATCGATCGTATGGCTAATATTGAAGATGGACTTGATGAATTGATAATAGGAGATAGAGATAAAGAGTAGAAATTAGTCAAATTACTCATTAATTTGTAATTTTTATTTCTTAGCTGTAAATTTTTGATAATTTACTTTGAAAAAAATTACAAATAATAGTGATATACATAAGTAGGTACCAACCTAGTTGGGATGTATTCATCTATTGTGATGCGATAAATTTAAAAAAAAAACTATAATCTCGTTAGTGATTTAATAATAAAGAATTTATTTTTTATCATTTTAATCTCTATGATATTTGTATTTGTAAATTGTATAATTAAAAGTGATTAATAATATGATGATTTTTATCACAATTTTGCATATTTTATTTATAATTACTCTTAAAAATTCATTTTTTATAAAAAAACTAATTTTTAAGCAAAAGAAAATAAACTGGGCCGTCCCGGTGCCCAGCCCAAACCCGGTTTTTCGGGTCGGGTCGGGTCGGCCCGGTTGGACACCCCTATTTGTAGAGCACTTGCATGCATTGTTATAACTTTAGCTCTATAAAAGCAAACTTACCAAATAGGTGCTTCTTTATTGAATAAATTTCAGATTCTGCTACTTAAGTTAAAACAAAATACACACAGACGGAAATAATTTGTTGACATGATTATCCACGAAGCACGTTAAGCGACTAGCAAAGGTAACACAAAATAATAAATCAAAATAGCTCATAAGATTACATGATATACTTACAATAGATTCCCATCAGGAAGGCATTTCCTACAAAGAAAAAGAATGCAGTAAGTAAAAAAGAAATTATGGGTTACATTGGTGGGAAAGAACAAGAGCGAACAACATTTGGATTAACCAGAAGAAAAAAGCGATATAAAAATTCCATAATGAATCAACCAATACATATGTGCCAAGCCTTACCATTTATGAAATTTTGGTGTCAAGAGTCATTTGGATATCAGAAACGAACTGGTGAGCAACTAAAGCTTTTCTTATAGTATAAATTACAACTCTCATGCCTCACCAAACGTTAGCCTTAGCTGCACTTTTTGATTGTCTACAGTAAAGCTCAATGTCCAGTAAAAACCCTGATTGATTTTGGAGGGATATGGAAAAGTTCTCTGAAATCATCTATCTGTATCCTTGTGGATACAAAAAAGCTAGTCCAACATTTACCTACTTTGCAATTTTCCCCTGAGCTCTTTCTGCTATAAGGAAAGTTGAGGGTTGTTGTCCAGCCTATGGATTTAATCTTTCCCTGTCAGTACATACTTTGTGCAGTTTGCTTTGCTCCAGAAATCCTCACCATACTAACTCAAAACGTAGTAGCACATGGTTAACTTGCTATGCTACCCGGGTACTTCTGTGAGTTCTATCATGAAGCCATATCCGTACCA